GCTGATCAGGGGAAGATTGTGTGGGGCCCTGTTAGTGCTAGAGATGGGACCCAGGCAAATTGACCAGATGCAATCCCAGAGTATGGCTGTAGGCCAGAAGGAGTGAGAACATGCAGGTGAGTGGATAGAACACCAGCCCTGGATTCAGGAGGACCTGAGTTCAAATCTGGCCTCAGACACATAACACTTCCTAGCTGTGTGACCCTGGGCAAGTCACTTAACCCCATTGCCTAGCCAAAAACAAAAACAAAACAAACAAACAAAAAAAAGAATGTTATCATTAGGGGCAACTAGGTGGCACAGTGGATAGAGCTCTGGCTCTGGAATCGGGAGGACGTGAGTTCAAATACAGCCTCAGTCACTTGACACTTACTAGCCATGTGACCCTGGGAAAGTCACTTAACCCTGGTTGCCTCATCAAAAAAAGCAAAAAAAAAAAATTGGGAGGCAGCTAGGTGGCGCAGTGGATAGAGCACCGGCCCTGGAGTCAGGAGGACCTGAGCTCAAATCCAGCCACAGACACTTGACATTTACTAGCTGTGTGACCCTGGGCAAGTCATTTAACCCCACTGCCTAGCCCCCCCCCCAAAAAAAATAAAGAATGTTATCATTACTAGAGTAGTTAAAAAGAGTACGCATAGTTAGAAGGCCGGAGGTTGCGTTGGTTATGATGAAATGATCCTAAAAAATAAAATTGGGTAAGGAGAGGTAAAATAGGATTGAGGGAAATACACAACTAGTAATTATAACTGCATGCAAATAGGATGAACTCACCCATAAAACACAAATGTGTAGCAGAATGGATCAAAAATCAAAACCCAACAATAAGCTGTTTAGAAGAAATATTTTTTAAAATGAGAGACACACATAGAGTAAAAATAAAGAGCTGGAGTAGAATTTATTATACTTCAGCTGATGCAAAGGAAAAAAAAGCAAAAGTAGGAATCATGATTTCAGACCATTAAAGCTAAAATAAATTTAATTAAAAGAGATAAACAACAAAACTACATTATGTTAAAAGGTACCATAGATAATGAAGTAATATCAGTACAAAACATATATGCACTAAATGCCTTAACACCCAAATTTTTAAAGGAAAATATAAATAAGTAGAAATAATAGTGGGGATATTCAACCTTCCTTTTTCAGAGCTAGATAAAGTTAACAAAAAAGAAAAAAAGAAACAAGTGAAGGAAATGAATAGAATCTTAAATAAACTAGATATGATAGACATCTGGAGAGAACTGAATGGGAATAGAAAGACTTGCACGAAATAATGAAGAGTGAAATGAGAAGAACCAAGAGAACATGGTATATAGTAATAGCAATATTATTCTCAGAATAACTATGAATAACTAAGCTATTCTGGGTAATATGAACATTTAAATCAGCTACAAAGAACCTATGAAGGAAGATGCTATCCACTTGCAGAAAAAGAACGGTTTTGTATGGTTTGTGTGGTTTCATATATATAATATATCTATAGCTATATATCTGTGTCAAATGTTGTCCTCTAGTGCAAGGTTGGGGGAGAGGGAAAGAGACAGCTTGGAATTTAAAATATAACCCCCAAAAAATCTTATTAAGCACGTTAAAAAAAAAAAAGGAAAAGCAACTTCGAAAAATTAAGAACAAATTTTTATCATTGTAATGACCAACCATGATTCCAGAGGACCTATCATGATGCATTCTGACCACTCCCTGATAGAGAGGTAACAGACTTACGACATAGAAAGTGACATAATATTTTTGGACACAGACAATTCAAGAATTTGTTTTACTTGACTATGTATATTTGTCATAAGTGTTTGGATTTTATTTATTTTTTGATGGGGATGGGTTGGGAGGAATAAAAAATAAATGCTTGTTAATTTTTTAAAAGGTTGTTTTTTTAGGGAAGAACAAATAGTCAATAGGCTTAATTACCATTTAGCAAAGGCATTTACTCAAATACCATTGCAAGAAGAGGAGTTATAAAAACATACCCCAATAACACAGGGCTCATTTTTCCATAAGTACACACAGCTTCTGTGGGAAAAGTGTTCTTAAACTCAGAGCACAATGGTAATGCACATTTATTGTACATATGATTGGCCCAGGGTAACTCACAGTTCCTCATATTTTGGGGTCTGGAATTCCTTCCTTTCCCTCAGATCTTACACATGTAATCATGCAGTTCACAGCTAACTGTGGCATCTAGGCAGGATGGGTCGTTCTTCTAAGAGGCTATCCTCTCTGATGCAAAAGCTTTCCCTTTCATCAGCCACCATCACTCTGGTGGATGTTCCTGCCAGCACAGTCACAGACCCCCAGACTCCTAAAAGCTCCAAAGGTCACTTCCAAGCCTGGAGTACATCTTGAGGTTGCTGAGGAATCACATACTCAGGAAAGGAAACACATAAGGGGAAAAGGAAGCCAGGAACCCAGGCACCAGTTCACTTACTTAACTCCCTGCATTAACTGCCCCTTGGGCATAGTTGGGTTTTTGGGGGTTTTTTTTTAAGGCAATTGGGGTTAAGTGACTTGCCCAGGGTCACACAGCTAGTAAGTGTCAAGTGTTTGGTCTGAGGCTGGACTTGAACTCAGGTCCTCCTGACTTCAGGGCCGGTGCTCTATCCATTGCGCCACCTAGCTGCCCCTGGGCAGAGCTGTTATGATGCCAGCCTGAGGAAAGGGCAGCCCATCCCCAGTCCTCTCTGGAAGCTTTGAAGCTGCATGATACCAAGTGGAGAGTCAAAAAAGGCTGAGCTAGAAGCTGTCTCTTCTTTTAATTATTGTAGTGTTCCACTTCCCATGCCGCTGTCACAATGGGAGTGCTTGACTGTGTTGCATTGCACAACTTCACTGCAGCCTTGGTTCTGAACACAAACACGTGCACTTTGCACTGCACATACTGTCACTCCACACAATGCGAAAAAACACTGCCAGAAACACCTCAGCTCAGATTTGAGACTATTGTATGTTATAAATTGCAGTGTTTTTATTGTACATACAAAATCATTCAGTGAATTTTGGCTTGGGATTACGACAGAATTTCCAACAATTTCTGAAACGGCCCTAAACATACTGCTGCCATTTTGTACTATGTGTTTATGCAAAGCAGCGTTCTCAGCATTGACGAGCATAAAATCAAAATATCAGTCAACTCTGAAAAACATTGAAGATGCTCTACGTCCTGCAGTATCAAATATTCTGCAAAGATTTAATTTTTATGTAAAAATAAATAAGCACATCCACCTCATTAGTATGTAAATTTTCTTTCAACTTCAATAAATGGTAAAATTATATGTATACCAAAGAATTGTTTTAAAATAAATTTCTTTATGACTTATTTTCAGTAAATGTTTGATTTGTATACCTGTTTTATATACCTATACACCTGGGGTTGCATAAAAATTTCTCCAGCATAAAAGTGGCCCGAGTGCAAAAAGTTTAAGAAGCCCTGCCCTACACAAGGTCCTTCCTGATACCCCTACCCCATAGAATAAATAACTTTGCTCTGATTTATCTGCACATATACTGTTTCCCACTAGCATGATGTACATTCCTTGAAGACTTGGACTATGCAGCTTAGCTTAGCACTCAGTACTGTGCTTAGCACCTAGTAAGCACTTAATAAATATTCACTGATTGATTAATATTTGTCTTCAGAGCCTATTGATATTAATAGCTTTCCCTCAAAACTCTAGCTCATGTTCATCCATTCCTGTTGTGAGCTCTTATTTACAATGTTAGTTATTGTTGTTATTACGATTATAGTGGGAAACACAGAAGTTAGCTCTTCATTGTTACCACTATTTGTTTCATGTCCCTATCATCAGTTGTCATCAAGAACAAAAGTTCGTTAGGGCCCACATTAGACTGTGAGTTCCTTGAGAGTGGGGGACTGTTTCTTTTCTGTTTGTATTTCCCTGAGCTGAGCAGTTTCTGCCAGGGTAGGTGCCGAATAAATAGCCTACTGCTTAAGGTACTGTCCTGGGTGCTGAAGTATCAGTTTTTGTTTTCGTTTTTTGAAGGGCATCCAACAGTTTCTCCAGCACCAAAATATTTCCCTCAAGTCTTGTAGCAGCGCCTTCGATTGTGTTTTTAGAGATAAACACTCCTTTGGTTCCAAAAAGTATAATAATAGGTAGCATTTTTATAGTTCTTTATGGTTTGTAAAGCACTTCATCAATATTGTCTCATCCTCACAATAATCCTAAAATGGAAATGTAGGTGATATTATTACCCCCGTTTAACAGATGAGGAAATTGAGGCAGAAAGAAATTAAATGATTTGCCCAAGGTCACACAGCTAGTAAGAGTCAGGTAACGAATTTGAACTCAGAACTCTCCTGACTCAAGTCCACCGTTTTACCCAATGAGTCACCGAGGTTCCTCTAAAAACATAAATTCCGTTAGTTGACAGGTTCCTGAGACCAAAGTCCTTGTTAAAAAGTTCTGAAGAAGTATCCAACACCAAGTACTCAGACTTCACAATTTTGCTTAGGGCAGACCTTTAACGTCACACAGTGTGGGTGACATCATGGCGTATTTTCAATTGAAGCTTTAAAGAGTCAGCCCTAGCTCTATTTGCCCACGGTTTCGCCCCGCCCCCTCCCCTCCCCTCACTTTAGTTAAAGAGTACTACAAATCCCAAGAGGCCGTTCGTTTAGGGTGCGTGCGCATCCCGCTCGCCTTTTCTTCACCACTCTCCCCCCACCCCTTTCAGTTGCTTAGTAAACCCCTCCCAGCTCGGGCGTCGCGAGCGCTGGAAGCGGCGGAAGAAGATGGCGCTGACCAGGTGGGTTGTGGGGGAGATTGGGGGAGGGGTGGGGGGGTCTTCCTTACGTAAAAGATTCAATTCGCTTTTGCCTTTTTATTCCTCAGCTTCTACGCTCTGGGGAGGGTGTCGGTCGGGGGAGCATCGACGCTTTGGGGCAGAGCCGTGGAACGGGACTTCCCGTTAGCGGCGGAGTCGACCAGGCCTCCCAGAAGCCGGGGCCTTTCCTGAACACTTACCCCAGCCTCGGGCCGCCTCTGGTCGGGGCTGCCAAGATCGGCGTGGCTAACCCTTCCTTGCCTTAGCTGGTCACTTGAATTTTTCTTGTTCCTGGGGGTGAAGTTGCGAAGACGTCTTCACAACCGTGGAGGGAGTTGGAGGTGGGGGTTAGGGGTTGAAAAGGTGGGGACCGGGAGGAGGACAATGGTTATTTGTGTCGGAGGAAGGAGATGGAAACCGAGGCGGGGGAAGAGCTTCCAGCTAGTGTCTGCTTCCTTATCATCTGTACTTTCTCGGAAAACAAAGATAAACTCCTCCATCTAGCCAGCTCTGAATTGGGAGTGAGGGGGCGTATAGACGATGGGCAGTCCTTTTCCCCGGTAGAAGAGGACCCTCCTCCCCCTCCAGGCAAACCTGCTTCTTGCTTCTTCCCGTTGTCTTGGAAGCTGTGTAGGAAGGCGGCCCTCGATTTCCAGTGAATGATCATTAGTGCATATTGAGCAAAAAAATTACGTAACTTAGACTAATCCCTAAAACAGATGCTTAGTAAGTGGAAAAAATTTTGACTAAAAAAATTAAAAAGCACATAAAGGGCAAGAGAAGTGGAGACTCGAGGAGAGACTGTGGAAAGTCAAACAGTAAATATTTTTTAAGCTCTTACTATGTTCCAGGCACACTGCTAAGCTCTGAGAATACAAAAAGAAAAAAAAGGACAGTTGCTGCTCTCAAGAAGCTTACAATCTAATGTCATTGTTATCCTTAGCTTGTGCCCCTTTCCTGCTTTTCCTACGTAACTCATTTAGGAAGTCATCATTGTGAACAGACCATAACAGTGAATCTTGGAAGAAAGTATTATTACATGCCCAGCACCATGTGTTACATGGTGTGGTGTATGGAGAAGGAAGATTAAGAGGTGAATCCTGGTCTACAATCATCTTTCAATCTATTGACAAAATGTAGACATACAAAGCAATTACACTGTAATGTAATGCTGACTTTTGTGGGAAGGGAGTGAGAGGTACCAAAGAAGTTAAAAAATGGGAAGGTAGATAAGGAAAGACTTCACTGAGGAGGTAAGACTTGAGCTAGATCTTGTGGAAAGGGTGGTATCTATGTAAATATACACACACCCCCTACATATATGTACACACACACATATACATACATACCTTCATACATACAAGGGAAATGCTGATAGTGACAATATAAACACTAGCTTAATTTTAAGGTAGACCAGTAGTTCTTATGTTTTCATTGAATTACTTCTTGCTAACTTTATGAAGCCTGCAAAGTTTGAATCTTGAACTGTTTAAAATTGAAACTGTTCCCCTAGGCATTGGTTTGTTTCCTTTATCGTTTAAGCATTTTACTTCTTGGCTTTTTCCCTTGTTCATTTGCATTTTCCAAAGGGTAAAACACTTCACAATGCCCATAGGACTCCTTGTTGGTAGAAATTTTGGGGGGAAGGCTGCATAACTTCTTTTGATATTTGCTATATTAGCATGCAGAAACAAGAGTTGGGCTCTCTCAGTCAAAGATAGAATTACTTTTCTGATGCTAACATTTTGTTTAATGCAGTGATTGACTTTTCTTTTTATTCTTGGTTGACTGGTGTATTTGGGGGACTCATTTAGCCTTTTGTACAGTGAATGTCAAGTGTTTTGTTCCATGTGCTATAATTCATTTTCAGTATAAATGCACTGGACCTTTTCACTTATTAACTTAATATTTATTATGATCAATACAGTGGAAGTGTAAATAGTCAAAAGAAAATTCAAATTGGCACTGCTTCTAGTTCTTAAAGGTTAATAACTTTTCAGAAAATCAACCTTTTTACTATTACTTAGGATTATATACATTAATTCTTGAATTGATCAGGATTAGAAAAGGATTCTTAAATGTACTTTTTTTCTCTCTAGTTGCTGCATGCTTATTCCCTGTCCTTTTCATTCCTGTAGGTTTCAACTTTTCTTCCTGTTTCTACTTATCCTTTATTATATTGGCACTATAATGATTAAAAAGTAAGGGAACAAAAGGAAAATCCTCTGAATGACTGAGGGTTTACTCTCAGGTTATAAGAGATTCAAAAACATAGCACTTCAGCTATTTTGGGGTATACTGTGACTGTCCTGGTTATAGAACTCATCTCATTTGCCTTTAGTCAAATATGCTTGATTCTATGAATGAGCACTTCATTGTTACCTAGAATACAAAATGACTGGTATTGGCACTTCTAAAGTGCAGTAGAAGTTCTCCCTCTTCATGAAATTAACAAGAAAAATTTTATTCTCGTTATTGATTTGTGTGACATACAGTATTTTTATTTGTGTTCTAACTTTTCTCCTTATCCTTGATTTTGTAGTTTTTTACCTGCACCAACTCAGCTTTCTCAGGACCAGCTTGAGGCTGAGGAAAGGGCAAGATCACAGAGATCAAGGCAGACTGCACTGGTCTCATCAAGAAGAGAACCTCCCCCTTACGGATATCGAAAAGGCTGGATACCGCGTTTATTAGAGGTAAATATTAGCCTTCATTTTGAGTTTATTAAATTGATCAGAGTTGCTGTAAAATTAGTAAGTCTAAACCATGAAGTTCTCTAGCATCTAATATCTTCAGTACTGTTTCTAAATATGGTTGTCTAACATCACTTTAGTAAACTAATAATGTTTTACCTTTTGGAAAGTGCAAATGAATAGGGAAATGGCCAAGAAATAGAATGCTTAAAAGATAAAGAAAACAAACCAAATGACCAATTCCTAGGGAAATAGGAGTGCCTAACACTTCTCACAGAAGGTATGAGCTTGAGTAATGGCAGGAATCGATTCCATCACAATTCCAAAAATCTTTTGTACATGCAAAAAAAAGATTTTAATTTGGGTAGGCTAGAGAAATAGCTCTGGAAGACACTGCAAGTATTAGGGAAAAATGAGTTAGAGTATAAGATCTTTGAGAGACACAGGATATTACAGCTAATCAGGTCTAACTCCTTCATTGGAAAAATGGGGAAATTGAGGTACAGAGGGCATTGTCTGTAGTGGAAAGCATAGTCTGAGCTTCAGTTTTCTCATCTGTAAAATGGGGGTGATAATGTTTACACTATTTTCATTATTAGATTGTGTGGAGAAAGAACACCATGTAAATCTTGTAGTGTTATATAAACATAAATTGTTATTCAGGAATCTTTGACATGTTTTAAAAAGTTGTGTCCTTCCAGTGGAATAAGCCCTTTGAGGGCAACATTGTTTTTTTCTTTTGTCTTTGTATCACTAGTACTTAGCATAATTTCTTCAGTATAGCTGGCACTTAATATACGATTGTTGAATTGTTGGTGTGAATACTCCTCATATTGTACAGATTGCCTCCACTCTCTGACTCAGTATTCAGTCTTTGAAAGCTGATTAATTTTTTTAGAAGGCCTTGTAACCAGTCTACTGGTGAAACTATTTAAACTTAGGTTGACTGATTGTCAAGCGATGCACATATTCTAAATTACTTTACCAGTGCTTGGAATTTTCAGTTCTTTGCCGCTACAAAAAGATCTGTAACAAATATTTTTGAATGTATGGGTTCTTTTACTCTTTCTTTGATCTCTTAGGAGTATAGACCTCTAGTAGTATGACTGAGTCAAAGGATGTATATTGCTTAATAAATTTTGAGGCATAGTTCCAGATGGTCTTTCTGCAATGAGTGGACCAGTTCACAGCTCCACCAACAGTACATTAATGTATCTGTTTTTCCACAGCTCCTTTAGTATTTGTCATTTTCCATTTTTTTAATCACCTTTGCCAGTCTGGTGGATGCAATGGGTGTGGAACCTCAGAGTTGCTTTAATTTGTATTCTGTAATTATAAATTATTTGGAGCCTTTTTTCCATATGGCTATTAATAGCATTGTTTTCTTCCTATGAAAACTGCCTGTTCATATCATTTGGCCATTGATCATCAATTGGAGCCCTTTTTGTTAAAAATTGTAATTAGTTCCTTATATAGCTTAGAAATGAAACCTTTAACAACAAAAAAAATGCTGCAAAGATTCACCCACTCCCCAGCCCCCAGTTACTTACTTCTCTTCCCTAATTTTAGCCACATTAGTTTGGTTTGTACAGAAACTTTTTTATTTTATGGAATTAGGATTTTCCATGTTTGGTCCCTTCTTTGTTCATGAGTTCTTCACCTGTCCATAAATGTAAATGGTAATCCTTGCTCCTCTAATTTGTTTATGATGTAGTCATTTATTTCTAAATCATGTACCTATTTGGGGCTTATCTTGGTTTTGGTGTGAGGTTGTGGTCTATACTTAGTATCTGCCAGACTGCTTTCTAGTTTCCCCAGAAGTTTTTGTTGAATAGTGAATTCTCACCTTAATAGCCTGGTCTTTGGGTTTATCTAACACTAGGCTTCTTTAGCAAGCACCATTTTATGTAAAATCAGGGAGTGCAGTTTTCTTGTATTTCAGATTTTATATAGTTAAAATGGAATCTACACTTAACTTCATGGCACAGTTGAATTTTGAAAAATCTCATTTTAATAGCTAAGATTTCATAAAGCTAGGTAGAACAGAATAGGTTTTGAAAAGTCAAACTAAATTGGCCCATTAATCTGAAAATGCCATGTGCACTTTTCCAGAAGAGTGAATGTTTGGAGAAAAAAACCATCTGCTTCTAATTTAAAAAAAAAAAAGCTGTGATTTTTCTGGCAGGTTTAATGACCACATAAATCCACAGTCACAGTCCTGAATGTTGATTATAGTGGGAAAAAAAACCAACATGATTCTGAGTGTGTGTCAAATTGTCAGCAAGAGTACAAGCAGCAGCTTTCTTGTGTATACTTTAACTATTTCTTTCTAATTCAAGATGAAATGTATTTCTTTTAGCATTCTTCAGTTTGTTTTCAAAATGTTAAAATTCTTTGCAGCAGTGTTAGCATACAATTATCCTGCATTTTAGTGCAGTTGTTTTTAGAACTAGATACTACAAAAGTAGCAGTCTTCTAAAAACAATTTTATTGATATCTTTTGTTTTTACATTCCCCAATTGATCCTTCCCTCTCCCTCCTGAGAGTCATCCCTTACAATAAATAATACAAAAATACAGGGAAGAAAGTTTAGCAAAATTGACTATGAAACACATCAGCTAAGCTAGACGTTGTTCGTTGCAGTCTCACCTCTGCAAAGAAGGGAAATACATTATTTTATTCCTTATTTAGGGCCAGTCTTGGTCATTATACTTTTACAGCATTTGTTTTATTGTTTTTGTTGTTCTTCTAATTTACTTTGCTGAAGTCATTTTATAGATTTTTTTTGGTTCTGTTTCTCTCTGCTTTAGTTCATAAAAGATGTGCTTTTCTATATTCATCATATTCACTGTTTCTTATGGTATAGTAATGATATTTCTTTACATTCTAGTACTTTTGCATTCAACAACTTTTTTAGTCTTTCCCCGCAAAAGTCATTAGGAGGGAAGGAACGAAACATACATGAATTTATTAAACACCTGATAGGTGCTAGGCACTGTGCTAAGAACTTCACAAATATTATCTCATTTAATCCTCACAACAGCCCTGGGATGTGGGTGCTATTATTTTCCCAATTTGATAGATGAGGAAAGAGGCAGGCAGAGGTTAAGTGACTTGCCCAGGGTCACACAGCTAGTAAGTGTCTGATGTCAGATTTGAACTCAGTTCTTACCAACT